TAAAAAGGAACTCACCTTGTGGTATAACCGGCAAGAGAGAAAGCCTTTGAGCTCCATACTGTTTCAGAGATAATCCTTGATAATCCATGATATGGCGTTTCATCACGGCAGTATTTAGTTTAGACAGTAGCTGCCGGGTCCCGCATGAGCTCAGCCCTCTCCTTTTTAATTTTTATCAATATTTACATTTTTTAAAGCTTTATACCCCAAATCAGCACTTTTGAAACAGGAAGTGAAATAGAGGGATATGAGGCATGGCTAGAATGGGTGATCTGTTTGGTATTTTGAGCAAAACACTTCATAGACATGTTTTTTTATATATTTGTATATATCTGAGACCTATGCTATTGCCTAAAAATAGCAGGATAGGTCCACTTTAAAGATGCTTTACGAATAAAGTTCATAAATACAATTGTTGTTGTTTACTGTCCTCTTCAGGTTCCTCCGGACGTCAGGAGAGAGCTGGAGTTCCTGCTGCTCCTGGAGGAACTCGGCTCAGAAAACATACCAGAGACTTCCCTCAAGGTTCTCACCATTTAATCATTTAACAACCGGCGGCTACTGTTGAAAATGAAATAGTGAAAACCAGATATTAAAACGCTTAACCATTAAATTGACTGAGAAACAATTATACTGTGTGTTCACACCGGCCGAGTGCATGCAGATTGATTTCACATGTTGTGTTTTGGGGAGTAGCGTGACTGTTGAAATGGTGACTTTAGTCTGACATCATTTTGCAGGAGTTGCACCGGGCCTTTCTGAGCTCGCAGTCGGAGCAAAAACCTCCGGAGGGTCAAAGGTCAACAGACGCCACGGTCGAGTCCTGCCTGCGGACGTTACTGGAGAAGAAGAAGCCCAGACTCGCCCAGACCTTAGCACATTTCTTACAGGTAAAGATAGACATATTATAACTTTTTAAAGCAACAAAAACGGATTAAAACTTTATAAAGTAATATGCAAAGAGTGGAAATAGAAATGATGTCTCTTTTTTTAACGTGTGTGCATATTCTTTCTTTTTTACTTTTAGCTACTAATCATTTTTGTTTTTATTGTGAGCCCTTTTTTTTGTTGCAATCATGGTAAATGAGGAGTCCCGTTCATTTGTGTTTCAGGTTAAATAAACATAACTAATTGTATTTATTAGAAGATAGTGTAAGATATGATTAAGCATATGTTGGTTGCATTTACTATAAGTTGATTATATGAATGTGAAGATTTAAAAATGGGATTATGTGTAGTGGAAAAATACCACTATGTTTTGTCTATTTGTCCGTTTCCCTACATACGATACGATATACTTAAGCAATAGCTCACGACAGGCCGTGGTATATGGTCATTATATCACAGTTAAGGGGCGTGGTTCGGCCCGACGCGAAACGTTGTTACTGTTTGAACTAACGTAGCAACGGCAGGAACTGCTTCGATAGCGTTTTTGCGGACCTTTTTGATTACAGATTTGAAAACATCGTTGCTTGCTTTAAAAGTAGCACAATTCATTATGTCAAACCTTGGAAAGTATCTAGATGTCCCTGCCCTAATGCCAAAGGAACTGGCAACTGAATATGTTTTGCCGTTTGATGTCTATGTCTGGACCGCTGCGTAAAAAGGAGGATTTCTGCCCGTTACTTCTCTGCAGTTTGCTTGTCCCAGTTTGAAAAGCAAACTGCATGCATTTTGCTTTTCAGCCAAACTGTATACAGTTAAATCGACCGTACTTTTTTCTGCAGATGTGAGCGTCCTTAACAACGGTCAATAAGTCCTTGCTGCACATTATCCCTTACATGTTTCCATCTTAAGCTTTGTTAGTTAGTTAGTTTTGTAACGGACGTAAGGTAACAGATGTAACGGTTGTAGCTTTTCTCAGACGCGGAGGGATACTGACTTGTTGTGAAAAGTAACTACAATTCTACCCGTGATCTACGCTCATTATATCACGGCTAAGAACCAATCAGATTGCTTGATTTGACTTGTCCGTTTTATAAGATACGATATATGATACGATATACTTTATTGTCCCCGTAAGGACATTTGTTCTGGACTCCGTCCTGCAGTTCCACATACATGTACATATACAAACATAATAA